AGTTCTTTATTTCCAAACCCTGCAATGGAGTAAGAAAACTTTAGACCTACAAAACGTGATTTTGTGAAGTTTCCACTTTATAAAATTCATAATGAAGCTCCAAATGGTATATTCTATATACTATGTAGTTGTTTTCAGTAGTCACTAATTCACCAGTGCAGCATCAAGGAGGATTTGCCCCTGATTAGGATATCCTATAACAACAATACAATAATAGTTAAGCATGAAGAAGAATAGTGACTTTCACGAGCAGGTATTTTGATCATTCCAGGAGTAGTACAAGAAGAAAATTATCCTTAAAATGAATCCGATACTCAGACCAGAAGCATATTGGCGCCACATGCCTGCAGAAAAACTGACTGATTTTGCTAGAATAACTATAGTTCATTTTTGAAACATTCTAGTACGAAACTATCCTCGGTAAACTGAAAATTTCATTAGAATATCTGTGAAGCGAATTTTGTATAATAGGACTATCAATTAAAGAAGAATATACAAGTAGAAGAAGTAAGAACAAGTAGAAGTAACAAGAGAAAGTAGCACTTACGTCTGGTCTTTCCATATTTGGTCCTGCTTCAGAACTGGCAAAATAAGTGTTGCTTCCATTATCTTAGCAATTGCAACAGCATTACATATCTGCAGAAACACCAAAGATTACAAAGTAGCAGATGGGCCTATGTTGTAACTGAAACTCAATGTCAGCTTAGGAAACTCGTTACCACTGCCCACTGCTTAAGAAATTGGCATGATCTTCTTAGGCAGGTACACAAATAAGTATTAAACAACAGGAGAATTATAATTTTATTTCTTAAATAAGCAACAGAAGATCATAGCAAAAACATGCTATAAAAAGGAATTATCATAAATATGTTGAAGGTACAGGCTGATATGCTTAAGCAGCAACCACCATCATAGGAAAAACAATTCCCATGTAACAGCGAGATTCAGAGACTCAGAACTATGTTTACGCAGAAAAAACCATTGCACCACTGAAACAAGTATTTAACAATCACACAAAATAAAGTGAGGAAGGCTGAGAAAACAGAAGTGCATACATACAGCTATTCGTTGCTGGTTCAGTCCACCCTCAGCATGGATAAAAATATACCCAGAGGTTTCGTTCTCAGGTGGGACATCTGCATTATATAGAATGATATAAATATTATCACTTATCAGGGCCCAATCATGAAAGGACACAAATGTTTGATGTAAAAGGCAGAAGTTGATGTTTTCTTTTTGACCGGGAAGTTGATGTAAATGACATAGGGTGCACGTCTCTCCACTGACTGAGGTATCCTTTCTTGCAGGGAAGCACTATGGTTCTAAGGGGAAACATCACAAAATCATGGCTAGAAGATGTTTTCATAAGAACTGGCATTGCGCTTCACATAGAAAGTATTCTGTGCTCTGACTCACATTGCTGCCAGAAGTCTATGAATGAGAAGTGCATTACAATTTTAACTCCACATTAATGTTGGCAATATTTCGTCATTTCATAGCAATAAAATAAATTCAGTTTCCATATGCTGCGTCATAAATCTGCAACCTTACATGGAAATGAAAGTATGGAACTATGGGTCACAATTCGACTCTCGAAGAACACTGTAGTTCAGGTTTTAGCCACCCTAACAAATTCCACACAACACAGTAATCACTAAACATGCAAGAGTTAAAAGAATTGCCATAAATCTAGGTTGTGTGGTAAGCAATAAGTGACCTCACAGTGACTGGTACAGCAAGGCTAAAAGTGAATGGTGCAGCATATGCTACTACTCCCTCCGTCCGAAAATACTTGTCGGAGAAATTGATAAAAATGGATGTATCTAGAACTATAATAAGTCTAGATACATTCATCTCTGGGACAAGTATTTCCGGACGGAGGGAGTACATTTTTGGTCTTTGAAGTAATGTCAATACTGGGCTTGCCTGAGGGCTCATCGCTTCGACGCTCAGCGCAGGGCTTCCAGGACGCGGTGGCAGCACGTGGGTTCTCCCACAGTGAGAGGGGCTCTTTCGTCTGCGCCCAATACAATTGAATTCATCAGAATAAAAGTTTCTCACGTGAATACAAATCGCCAGAATGGTTGCCGAGATCAGGAGCACTTCACCTGAGGGCAATGCAGCGTGATCCCCTCCTTCTGGCACAAGTAGGGCGTGTTCTGGATAAACAAACAAAAATGTAAGTGCTAGGTTGGGATTCTGATGAAACCGAATGTAGAGGGAGGAGCGGGAACTCACGAAGCGGGACCAGAGGGAGGGCGCGGAGAAGAGGGCCGCGAGCAGGATGAGCGCGAGGACGGCGAGCAAGATCCGGTAGGAGAGGGAGGCGGTGGGGTGCCTGGGGTCCTCTAGGGCGAGGAGGGAGCGGAGGGGAGACGGAAGGAGCTGCTTGTGGTGATGGTGGTGCGGGAGGAGAGGTGAGGAGCGGTGGGCGTCCTTGCCGTCGTCGTCGCGGCCGCGGGCGGCGGAGGTGGAGGCGAATGGGGAGGAGGCGGAGGCCGCGTCGGAGTCGCGCTTTGCCGGAGAGTTGGATGCGCGGGCGGCCGCCGCCGCCGTCGAGTGCCGAAGCTCCGCCATCGCTTCCGCCGGCGGCGCGGTGCGAGTCGGGAGTGGGAGTGTAGCACCTGTTTCAGCGTGCAGTCTCGGGACTTCGCTTTCGGTGCGTGACGGTAGTGGGAGCGCACCTGAGTCGATCTCGTGCTTCGATTCTCGATCAGACGGTTGTGAGTGGACAAGTCATCCCTGACTTGGGCACAGTAAATCGTGGAAACCGTGCCTTCCACTTGGCTACGGAGGTCCATAGGCAATGTCGGGATTGCTAAATCTCAGTAGGGTGATACTATTTTTTATATGTTCTGTCATTTGACTGAAACTTCGTTAAATTTCAGTCGACTGAGATTGGAGAAGCCTTCGTGACATTTTATTAATCATCAAATAGTCTTATATCATTTGCAAGAGCTAATTATACAATGCTCACGGTGAAAAGGAGTAAAATAAAGGTAATCATGCATAATAAACATATGTTTGATTCAATAGGACGTGATACATGGAGAGAACATGTAACCAAGAGCTCTAAAAATGTATAAAATATAGAGCCATCACCCGTCCTTGCCCTTGGCATCACCCTTGACATATTAAGAAACAGTATAACGGAACGAGCTATGGCTCCTCACAGCGTTTTGACGTCGCTGCCGTCTGATTAGATCGATCGGCCATTGTCTGGTGTTTCTTGGGCTGCTGCTCTGTACACTTACCTAGGCCCATTGTGGTTAATCAGGTCGTCTGTTCTTCTTGGGCTGCTGCTCCATACACGTATGTAGGCCCATTGTGCTTAATCAGGCTTGGGCTGCTGGCAGGCACCGATCAATCTTTATGTGTCAAAAAAAAAGGCATCGACCGATCTTCGTTGCGAGCCTTCCGCTCCTCTCGTGATGGGTGAAGGAAATAGCAACGGTGCCGGCGGCGGCAACAACTGCACCACGTTCTGAGAGGTATCCATGTACCCTCGAGATGATTGTATGCACAAAAAAAGTAGAACATTCTACATCAAAGCCTGCACTGCATTGGTCACCAAGTAAACCAAATGCTGATATAGTCAATATTACGAAGATAAGCATCAAAATCACCATATGGCAAAGCTGGTTAGTACATAAACAATCCTTCCCTATGTAACTTTATTGTAAAACAGAATGATAATTCAACTACAATTTTTTTTCTAACAATAACAGAATGAGCTGCCCCCGAGGCACGCCCCCCCCCACCCCACCCAGCAGCCAGTTTGCATTTTCATCTGTGACATGTCACTTAAAGCTGCCTAGACACCCTTGTGTCCATGCCCATGGCACGAGCTAACCAATATAATGTTCTGTTGTGTGGCTTTGCACCAAATAGGTCTACTTCCAAGTTCCCGCGTTATTAGTTTAGTGAGTTTGCCACCAAAATACTATATCAAATATTCATCAGATGGAGTTATATATTCACAACATTATAATTTTATAACTTTGGTAGACATTTCTATAATTTTCCATTAAACTGGACGAGCGCGGCAACACGCGCCATCATGTTCTAGTTAGTTGTGGAAGTAGAGCTCGAAGACGCAAAATGGATCGAGCCGGACCTACCCATCATTCGAGTTGTCCGACATGTACCTATCCTCCTCCTTCTCTTTGGAGGGTAGTCCGGCCATGCCACGGACCGCCCGGTTCTATTCTCGCGTGAGGGTGTGCGTCCTCGTCCTTTTTCACTTCTAGAGGATGTGGAGTTGTGGACACAGATGACTTACTCGTTCAAGGCCATGTCGGCAGCAAGGCAGGCCTCGGCCTCCCGTGCCCATTGCCTCGCACGACGGGCACACCCCTCCCTATAACCCTCACGTGTGTCCACACCGGAGTTGGGGAGAGAGACGAACCTCACCACATCTGGTGAGGCAGAGGGCACACACCTCGAGCCACCAGCCCCGACAGATTCGAGCGCCAATTGTGCCAATGCAATGGATTTCAGCCGGATCAATCTCTAACTACAGGCGGGCGCACTCGTTCTGGGAGTGGCGGAGGGCCATGCGACTGGGAGTGGCGGAGGGCCAATTGAAAGTAGACCGGGGAGTGTAGTGGTCTAAGTTGTAGCAACTTTTTGTTTGTGTAAAATATATTCCATACAAATCCAACTGATTTCATGCTAAACCATGTCCGACAAGAATAATTGTCAAGTAAACTCGAAACCTTGTGCAAGAAAGAATGCACGTAATCTATTTGCCAATATTTACCCACCTCTTATTTCCAAGCAATCATTGAAATCTGAACTATGATGTGACAGTAAAATTGAAAATGAATTTACATAATATCAAAACCAGAATATGTTTGTTAAGGTGCCCTAAATGCAGTTAACAAGATCCACTTATCATGTCATATGTCACCTAATATTTTAAGTATCGTAATATTATTTAAAGGTGCTAAGAACTTGAGCAAGTACATGATACAATATTAAATCAAACACCATGAGTGTCATCTTCCGCCAGAAAGGTCAGATATGGTGCCGACAGTCATCGACGTAGATGAGAATGGGCTTGACATGGAATGCAACTCCTTTCTTTCCCTAAGAGCTAACAAGTTGAAGCTCAAGGTTGAGCGTGTCATCTCCGGGAGTGGCAGTTCTCCATCAAGATACTGCAAAACTTGCTGCATCGTGGGCCTTGCAGAGGGAGATGGGTGTGAGCAGAGCAGTCCAATCTTGAGAATTAGGCACACCTCATCAGAGTTGTACTTGTGTTGCAACTTTGGATCTGCTGCCTCAACGAGTGACTCTCTATGCAAGTGCTCGAGTACCCAGTCCGCCAACAAGATTTGGTTGCCTTGCTCGTCTTGCTTGATCGGCCGTCGTCCGCAAGTGACCTCGAGCATGAATGTTCCGAAGGAGAAAGCATCGGTTAGAGGGGTGGCTTTCCCTGTTCTCACTAGCTCCGGCGCTAGGTATCCTGTGGTTCCAACCACACGTGTTGTTTGTGGGTTGGTGCCATGCTCATACAACTTTGCAAGCCCAAAATCGCCTAGCCGTCCATTCATTTCCTTGTCGAGGAGCACGTTGCTTGTCTTGACGTCTCGGTGGACGACGACTTTCTCCCACCTCTCGTGCAGGTAGTGTAAGCCACAAGCGACCCCTTTGATGACATGCAACCTTTGAGCCCAGTCCAAGGTGAGTCCATCTCCATCTCCTTGGCCGTATAGATACTTGTCCAGGCTACCGTTTGGCATGTAATCGTACACCAAAATGAGCTCATCTTTTCGCCGGCAATAGCCAAGTAACTGCACAAGATTACGGTGTTTGATGCGGCCAATACTTACGATCTCCGCGACGAACTCCTTCACCCCTTGCTTGGATCCATGGGACACCTTCTTCACGGCGATCTCTACCCCGGACGCCGGAAGCACCCCCTTGTACACCATGCCGAAGCCTCCTGCACCAAGGAGGTGCTTGTCCTTGAACCCATTTGTGGCATGGAAAAGGTCTTTGTACGCGAAACGGTGCGGCCCGAACTCGATCTCCCAATCTTCCCGCACCTCGGTGTACCTCAGGCGCCTTCTCACAAGCAGAACCAAGGCGGCGCCGAAGACGAGGACGACAACCGCGCTTGCTATTGGCAGGGTTATCTCCAGAACTCTTGACCGAGGCTTGGACCCCAGCTGCGGCAGCTTTGGCAGCCTGCCGGCATCAATCGCCGGGGCAGGCCTGTCTATGCCCAAGCTCCAGCCGAGAACGTAGTGCCGGGAGTTCACCGGGCCCGTCGACGACGAGAAGCCGATGTACGACGGCTCCGATAGCACGGTCGACAAGTTGTGGGTGGTGCTGACCAGCGGCTTGCTGGGTCTCGCCATCCCAAGGGGAGCCATGGTGACATCGATCTGGGTGGTCACCCTGTCGTAGTCCACCCACACTTGCATCGCGGCACGGCTGATGAGGCTTACATTATGGAAGCCGCCGCCGTTACGGTCGTCGTCGTCGTAGTAGCCAGCCTCGTGGGACGCCACGGAGGCGAGGCTGTTGATGTCGATGCCGACGTGGTTGGCGCTGATGTCGCGGAACTCGATGTTCTGCACGGTGTCCAGCTCCACGGCGAACAGGTGGTTGGCCGCGCTGCCGTCGTTCTGGGCGTTGGTGACGCCGAGGTACTGGTCCGTGAGCCCGGCCGACAGGCTCTTGACGCCGGGCGCGACGACGAGGGCCAGGCCGTGGGTGCTGAAGTCCGTGTAGCTGGAGACGATGGCGCAGACGAAGGTGACCGAGAAGGACCGCACCGTGCCGCCGCCGTCCGGGGACCCGCGGAGGCGCAGCGGGGCCGGGTGGAACGCGTGGCCCTTCTGGTGGGTGGTGGCGTTGGTCAGCTCCACGAGGCCGCCCGCCGTGATGGTGGCGGCGCCGTCGAGGGCGAGGCTCGAGCCGGTGAAGCCGGTGTAGACGAACTGCTCGCCGTCGGCGTCGGCAGCGGCAGCGACGGATGGGAGTGGAAGGGTGATACCAGCGGAGAGGAAGGGGATGAGGAGGAAGAAGGACATGTGCAGCATCGCCATTCGTGGACTGAAGCTGATGAAGTGACGACGAGGCACCTTTCTGAAGAGTTGTAGAATACGTCTCCGCGACCGAGGTTGTATGAAAGTCACATCGTCAATGGCGGACTGGTTTCACTGGACAGTATTAATTATCTGACTCAGACGCAGCAGTGTGAACCGACGACCGTCGGCCGGCGGGCGGCGGCTAGTCCGCAGGAAGACGGGGACGTGTATCTTTGAACATGGATCAGGAATCCTCGGAATGAAGGTGAGCCACATGCCTGCTGTCCTCGGGAGAAAAATGCAGGAAACGACCAATGGAGTCAGCCAATCAGTCCAAGTCAACAAGGACGCAGCTACCGTGACGACGCGGACTGCGAACAGTGTACCGAGCCGTCGCTGTGTGGGTGTAATAAAAGTCCAGTCTTCATCGATCACCTTGGATCGGTCTGAAAGATGAGTACCGCCAACTCTCATTTCCAATATACAGTATGTTTTCTGAGGCACTACATTCCAATATAAACTTGCTGGTCCCAGCCCTGTACAAGCGGCATGCTGTTGATTGATTAATTAACAATGCCGTCTGGAACAAGGTTGCCTAATGCCACACCATCATGCTCACAGTGACAACTGATGTTTTGGACCGAATAAAAATTTAGTTTCGATGATCCAAACAAGCTAGGGTGTCGCATCAGCTGGCAACTTGCCATGTTCTCCGCAAAACAATGTGCAACGGCACTTAAAAAATCGTCAAAGGTTGATTTCTTTCGGGTGCATTGATGTACATGTAAATGATTTATTTTACAGTTTTGCTAAAGCACATCAAAAGAGAAGGGATTAAGCATGAGAATCGGAAATTAACTATTGACTCTCTATAAGTGGATTTGTGTCTATCGCAAAAAAAAAAAGAATGAACTCATGTAAAGAAGAAAAACTGATTCTCCCTCTTCTTCTCTTATACTCCCTCCGTTCTAAAATAAGTGACTCAAAAATGACTCAACTTTGTACTAATGTTAGTACAAAGTTGAGTAAGTTTTGAGTCACTTATTTTGGGACGGAGGGAGTAGTATTCATCATGCCAAGAAATAAATAAATATATGTAGGGCATAATTTCCCCCTAAAAGAGCTTGAAATCTCCGTCATTAGCACCCGTGTGATGCACATGGCCATTCAGGCAAGGCATATATATTGATGAGCAAATATGCTGTTGAATATATGGTTTGTACATGTCTATTGTATAGTCTGACCCACCTCTTAATCTTTGTATAGTTGAGGTTGTGGCCCACTTTGTACTCCATATATACGTGCGCTTTGCACCGATCAATACACCGTGAAGCATTGCCAAAACAATCGTTTTCAACATGGTATCATACCTACGATCCTAACCCTAACCCGTGCCGCCGCCGCCACCTCGTGCCGCCGCTGCCGCCGCGCACCTCCGCCGCCGCGCCGCCGCCCTGGTCTGCCGCCGTCGCCCACGCTTCCGCAAGCCACCGCCGCGCCGCCTTACTCCCTGCCGCGCCGCCGCTCCAGCGCCGCCGCACCTCCCCTCTAGACCATGGCCTCCCCCGGTTCCACCGGTACCTCCCGCAGCCGCCGCACCAACCCGTTCGAAGGTCCCGATCCATCGTCATCCGCGACCTCAACATCCTCGCCCGGGTTCCCGTCGTCCTCGACCACCTCACCTCCATGTACTATGCCTGGAAGACGTACTTCTCCCTCGTGTTCCGTGAGTATAATCTCCGGGATCACATCGATGGCTCCGTGGACTCCCGCTTCATGGAAGACGATGGGGAGTGGACGGCCATCGACGCCACTCTCATCCGTTGGTTCTACACCACCATCTCGAAGGACCTCTTCCACACGGTGGTCTTCGCCGACGATGACGCCCACGCTGTTTGGACCAAGCTCAACGGCCTCTTCACCGACAACGCGCTCCAACGCAAGGTCTTCTTGCACGGCGAGTTTTTTGGGTGCCAGCAGCTTGAGTCGTCTGTTGACGATTATTGCATGCGCCTCAAGAAGCTTGTTGATGAGCTCCGTGACCTCGGCGAGAAGGTCTCCGATGAGCTTCTCCTCAGCATCCTCATCGCCGGCCTGAATGATGACTTCGGGAACGCCGCCTCCAACATCGCCCTCATCACCAATCCGACCTTCCCCAAGATCGTCGCGTACCTAAAGCTGGAGGAGCGGCGGATGCGGATGTCACGCACCCGGGCCACTCATCGCCGGTACCCGTGGCGGTGCGCCGCCCACCGCCCCGGCCCCACCGCCTCGGGCCCCTTCCAGGCGCCGCCGCCGCCCGGGTTTCCCTACCCGGCGCCGCCGCAGGCCCCTCCGCCCCCCGCCGAGCAGCAGCAGCGCCGGGGCGGGCATCGCGACCGAGGAGGCCGCAAGCAGCAGCAGTCGCAGCAGCCAGCTGCCCACGGCGGGGCGCCCCGCCATCCGCAGCGCCTGCTACCGCCGGCGCCATGGCAGGCAGGCCAGAACCCTTGGACGGGGGTTGTGCACGCGTACTCCATGCCTATCCCGCGTGCCCCCGTCCCCGGCTTCTTTGGCGCCTGCCCAGCCCCTCACCAGGCCCTGTACGCGGCCCCTCAGGCGTACCAGCCCGTGCCGCTCTACGGCCCCTCGGGCTATGGGTATGTGGCGCCACCGCCTCAGCCAGCGCCGTCTGCCCCGGCCCTCCCGCCGGCGCCTTGGGATCCCGCGCTCCTAGCGGCTCTCCACACCGCCCCCACGCCGCAGCAGTACACTGGCGGTGGCGGCTGGTATATGGACACCGGAGCCACGGCTCACATGGCCGCCAAACCCGGTAACCTTCTTGCCGCTAACCCCGTTCACACCGCTACTCGCATTACCGTGGGTGACAGCTCTTCCATGCCCATTACTCATGTCGGCCATGCTGCTTTTCCTTCTAACTCCATGCCATTATATCTTTCTAATGTGCTTGTTTCTCCTGACATCATTAAAAATCTTGTTTCCGTTCGTTCTCTTACACGTGAAAATCATGTTACCGTTGAATTTGACATGTTTGGCTTTTCTGTCAAGGATGCCCGTACCCGGATGGTGCTCCACCGATGTGACAACCCCGACGAGCTCTACCCGGTCCACTCACCTACCTCATCCGTTGCTGCACCCAAGGCGCTTTCCGCCGGAGTGGACCTTTGGCACGCTCGTCTCGGTCATCCCAACATCGCCACCCTTCGTCATATTCTTCGGAGTTTTTCATTCACGTGTAATAAGATCGACGATCACACTTGTCATGCTTGTCGCCTCGGCAAACATGTTCGTCTTCCTTTTAGCAATTCCTCGCATGTCGCATCATACCCGTTTGAGTTAATTCATAGTGATGTCTGGACCTCTCCTGTTGCAAGTAACACGGGCTATCTTTATTACCTTGTCATACTTGATGATTTTTCGCACTATGTGTGGACCTTCCCGTTGCGGCGAAAGTCGGACTCTGTTGTCACTCTCACCGCTTTCTACTCCTATGTCTCCACGCAGTTTGGACGTCCCATTCATGCGTTACAAACAGACAACGGGAAGGAGTTCGATAACCTTGCGATTCGCAACCTTCTCGCCACACACGGCACGATCTTTCGTCTCACTTGCCCGTACACTTCGCAACAAAACGGCCGCGTTGAGCGCGTGCTATGCACTCTCAATGACTGCGTTCGCACCCTTCTCTTTCACGCCAACGTGCCACCACGTTTTTGGCCCGACGCGCTTGCCACCGCATCACTACTCATTAACATTCGTCCCTGTCGCACTCGCGGGAATTTTGCACCTCATCACCTCTTGTTTGGCACGCCACCCTCCTATGCTGAGCTCCGCATCTTCGGTTGTCTGTGCTACCCCAGCATCGCTTCCAGCGCTCCTCATAAGCTCGCACCTAGGTCTGTGGCCTGCATTTTTCTCGGCTATCCTCCTAACACCAAAGGCTACCGCTGCTATGATCCTATATCTCATCGGGTGATCACTTCACGACACGTTTACTTTGATAAGATGGTTTTTCCGTTCCAGCAGGTACCTTCAGATATTGCGGCCTTGCCCGCTCCCGGTGATGGCCGCCAACGAGCTTCTCTTGGGCCGCCTCCCGGCTTTGAGGGTGCCCCCGGGCCACGGGTCGAGTCTCTCCCCGATTGGCTGCCCTAGGGGCCGCACCTCCCTCGACGCCCGCGACGCCCCCGGCGTCCCTGGCCTCGACCCTGCCGGCGGCCTCGTCCGCCGCCACGCCGGTGGCCTCGTCCGCCGCCACGCCGGAGGCCTCGCCCGCCGACTCGCCGGCGGCCTTGTCCGCGGCAGCCTCGACCGCGGCAGTCACATCAGAGGCGGGCTCGTCTTCGTCCTCGCCCACCTCCCCTCCGGACCCGCTGCCCCGCCCGATGACTCGCTCTCGGGCTGGCACCCTTCGCCCGAGCACGCGGTACCCCAGCGATGAGTATCTTCTCGCTGCTTCCGCCTCTGAGCCGTCTTCTCTCCCATCGTCAGCTCGAGCCGCCCTTCGGGATCCTCATTGGCTCGCTGCGATGCAGGAAGAATTCGACGCGCTCCAGCGGAACCGTACCTGGCAGCTCGTCCCTCGGTCGCCCCGTGCCAACATCATCACGGGCAAGTGGGTCTTTCGACACAAGACTCGTCCGGATGGCACTCTCGAGCGCTATAAAGCTCGCTGGGTGGTTCGGGGTTTTCGGCAACGCGCGGGCGTGGACTTCACCGACACATTTGCCCCGGTTGTTAAACCGGGCACGATCCGCGCCGTGCTCCAGCTAGCCGTGTCCCGAGCATGGCCTGTGCACCAGTTGGACGTGTCCAACGCCTTCTTGCATAGCCACCTGGCTGAGCAGGTGTTCTGTGAGCAGCCCACTGGCTTCGTCGACGCCACGCATCCAGATCATGTGTGCTTGCTCTCCCGTTCGCTCTACGGGTTGAAGCAGGCACCTCGAGCCTGGTACCAGCGCATCGCCGCCTTCCTGCAGACGCTCGGATTTACATCGACTCGCTCCGATGCGTCCCTC